TTTTTTTTTTTTTTTTTTTTTTTTGAATAACCCGGTGTATGCTGACATCCACCAAGGTAAATCCAGACTAGGCGAGTGTCCGTATCAACCTACGTTATCAGCCAGAGTACATCTCGGTCACTGGACGCTGGGGAAACCCAAATTTTAAATTTTACTCCTAGTTATCAGCGGGATTCGAACCCAAATCTGTATTGGAGCCGAAGCTCCCTCATAACCCAGACCGTCCTGTTTGGTTGATTTTAGCTATAACACAAACACTGAGTCAAAGATGAGATGGATCATGATAACGTGTCCAACAACTATATATCAATATTAAAAAGAAGTTACGGGTTGGACTTTTGTTAGGTCTCGATCACAAACCCTCTTGTGTTAGGCAGTAAACGTTCATGATTTACGTTTTAAGTTAGTTCTTACTTCTTAATCAACTGTTTTCTCGTTGACACAAGATAAGAATGTTGTATGTCATTCAACTAATGCTAATCCACAACATCTTAATCTCAAATATGCAAAGTCGTGGTAGCTAGTTAGATGTTGCAACATGCTAAAACAAAAACAAAATCATCTACTCTACCATAACTCAGGTATCAAAACATGAACGTAATAAATATTTTGATATCATATAATTAAGAATATGGGCGTATAAGATCGTGTTTTAAACATAAACATAAGATACTGTACCAGATCACTAGAACAACTAAAGAATCATTTTCTCAATCATTTTTTTTGTGTGGCTGTGGAAGTCCAAACATAATATATAGAAAAGAAGACCCAACTATAACAAATTGACATAGATCATCAAACGAGAGAAAACTATTGTATAAATAAAGAAACATACAAAAAGAAGAAAGTGGAAGGTAACAAAGCACCAAACCCATAATCTATATACACTTCCAATAAAATAACAAAACCTCTTCATCACCTTAAAGAACAACAAAGAAAGAAAGAAAGAAAGTTGGTGTCAATGGATGGCTTGATACCTATGGCGTTAAGGGCCATGAAGAAGAACCTAACTCGCCGCCGTTACGAGTGTCTCTCCTCCTCCTCCTCCTCCTCCACAAGTCGTCGTGACTCTTACAACTTCGTTTCTGATACCAAACCAAACGTAGAAGGTCACCATCGCCGTCGCTGGTCCATGGGAGACAGAGACTTCTCATCGTTATCAAGCCGGGAAACGAAAGGAAGCGGTGACGGTGGAGCTATGGAGAAGAGTTGTTCACCGCCACGGGAAGGTCAACTCGTGAGATACAAGAGCCATCGTTTGTTTTCTTGCATCTCAGGTCAATAATATAATTATCATTTCAAGAAAATAGGAAACTCGAACTCTTTTTTTTAGCGTGTTGGTTGGTTTAATAACTTTATCTTACAAAGATGTGTGCTATTGTTCATGTACATATTCGTTATCCTGTGATGATCTTTTGATGTCGTAAAGTTTAAGATACATAATAGGGGTTGTTGTGAAAATGTATAACTTATGGGGCTTTAACGAGAAAGAAAAAACTTGTAGGGGTCAAATGTTTCAAATAACTATAGTTCCAAAAGTTTTTGTTCACCTAATCCACATGTAACCCGTAGGGCGTGTGGTATAAGGACTGTATAATACATTCATACTTGTTAGTTTTCCACAAGATACAACACAAAACATGCTATAAAATCTACAAAACTTAATAAAAGTGATTAGGTTTAAAGTCTTTCATAAGAGACCTCATGAGAAACAACTTAAACAATCAAGTGAACAGAGAGAACAAAGAAGACAATGCATACCCAAAAACTCTAGTCCTTGAAACAAGAGAGTAGTAAATAGCTCTACAAAGTGAGAGTGCGTCTGTATAGAACTTCATCATCATCACTCTCATCATCATCTTCATCAGACACAACCTCACCACCACCACCAGGCATATCTAACTTCCCACCCATATCAAACACTGGACCTTCAGTATCCGCATCAATAAAGTTACCTTCCAACCTTTCCTCAAATCTTTGGTCACTGCAATTCAAGAACCAGTTCAACGAACTCCTAATCCCTTTACTCTGTAGCTTCTGGTACCTAGGTTTAATCCTAGACTCCAAGCTATAAGTAAAATACTCAGGATACTCAACCAACTCCTTCATCGGCCTCCCCATCTCAGTCTTGTAAAAGTAATAACTATTCTTCATTAGCTCAACTCTAGAACAAAGTATCTGAGGACACCTCACAACCATCTTAGCAATATCCTCAACCTTAAACGCTCTCCCTAATAAAAACTCAACAGGTTTCATTATCACATTCTGCTTAAGACTAACAATCTGAGGCATCTTCTCCACCACACGAGCAAACCCTTCAGGATCAACCTTGAGCTTCAAGCTGAAAAAGTACTGCTGCGTAGACATCTTGGCCTTAACCGGTAACCCCAGAATCTGAGGATACTGTGCTATAACCAAAGGAAGCATCTCTCTCCTAACACCAAAACTAATCAAACACTCCACATTAGGTTTAACAGTCTCCTCCAAACTATACCCAATAACATAAGCACGCTTCTCAATCATCCTAGCCACAATCTTCTTCGGCAAACCGACGGAAACAAGGTAATCCACAAGAGGCTTAATCATAGTCCCAACTCTCATCCCCAAAAGATAAGGATACTGAGTCACCATAGGACCAATATCTCTAGGACTCACACCAATACTCACCAAATAAGCAACGGAAGTACTCATAGTCCCTTCAAGCTTAAACCCTAAAAGCTCAGGATACTTCATCAGAACATACCCTAGATCCTGTTTCTCAACATCAAGCCCTCTAAGAAACTTAACAACAGGAGCAAGCTCAACAACCACACTAGCGTGCAAAACCTGTGGATAATTCTTAACAAACTCTCCTAACTTCGACCTAGAGATTCCGATTTTCTCCAAGTAGGCTAAAACAGGGATCAGGTTTTTGCGAACGCTGCAACCCAACATTAAAGGATACTCATTTATGTCGTCAATCGTTAACCCTAGCTTCTGGAGGAACTCGACGCGCTCGGAGATGACTTCGATTGTGGAAGGGAGCTCGATGGTTTCTAATTCGTCGGTGATTATGCCTAGGGTTTTGAGGTAATCGCAGATTTTGACGCGGTTTATGAGTTTCTCTTTCTTGCCTTGGATCACTCCCCATGTGACTGTGGGCATTTCGTATTCTGGGAACTTGGAGGATTGGGTTGCGTAGTGAGAGATAGGGAGGAGAGGAGGAGGGTTTTGGAGATTAGGATGTGGGTTTATTAGGGTTTTGAGGATTGGGTAATGTCTTGTGATGAAAGATGAGAACTTTTTGGTTTTGGGGAGAAGGTAACTCATTCTGGAGGAGACCCAGAAGAAAAAGGTTGCGACTTTGGTGAGGGAATCAGATGAGTGATGAGAAAAATTGTATCTTTTGTTGTCAGTTTGAAAGGGTTTTAGTGATTAGACGAGGAGAGATAAGCCCTAACTCTAGAAGCAGAGAGACTCAAGTAGGAAGGTGTTTTTTTCTGAGTTACGGTCTAAACCGGGTGGTTTGAACCGGTTTATTGTAAATCAGTAGGCTTTTTCATTCGTGGTTTATGAAATGTCGAACCCTTTTAGTTCTTCCCACTTCCTCGCCGCGTTTGGTCTCTAGCTTCGTCGTTTTTCGCATTTCTCAGGTTTGTCTTGTTAATCTCAAAATCGAAGAAGTATTCTCTATCAGTTTTGTAGTAATGCGCGGCTTGTAGGAATGAATCGGTACCTAGAGTAATCGTAAAGTTTTGGACTTGGAATCGAATAGTCGTTGTGATCTAACTCGATTGAATTGATCGCGCGTCAAGAACCGTACTTTATTCTGTTAATGTTGTTGTTTGTATGATAGGTTGGATCTAGAGTGCAAAAAAAAAAACTTACTTTACTTTCGCTCAGTATTCTTTAGCAGTTTTGTAGTAATGCGCGGCTCGTAGTGTCGTAAAGTCTTAGACTTGGAATCTGGTATCGTTTGTGATGGTTTTGTGATCTGAGTCGATTGAATTGATCGTGCGTCAAGAACCCTACTTTTAGGCTGTTAATGTTGTTATTTTGTCTGATAGGTTGGAGCTAGAGTGAAAAAAAAAAGAACTTATCACTCCCATGTCGGCCATTGTGGCGCTATGCAGAGCTCGAGCTGCTTCTTCTTCTTCTTTGTTCAGTAGCCTTGTTCGTCCAGCATTTCGCAGTTTCTCCACAGGTACTAGTTATACTCCCCCCCCTTGACTTTCCTGGTCTGTTTCTGAGAAGCAGAAACGATGCTTTTGATTCTGAATATATATGATTTTTTAGTTTTCAACTATATTTCTTATTGCCTATATGTCAAGAACAGTTAATATTGTTGCTAGTATGGAATCAGGTTTTTCAATTAGTTTTTGAAAGAGGTGATACATACTTATATAGGTTCTAGGATGGTGTATTTGCATTAGTATTTATTGTTTCCCTCTTGCGTTTGTGCTCACTCAAACTGCTTTTTAGGGGATTAAGATCTTTTGTGGGTTTTGTAAAGATAAAGCCTTTGCTTCTCTCTTATGAGTTAGTAAACGGATTAGGATTAGCTTTGCATGACTTCCCATCTCTTCTTCATATTTATTTTTCCATAGTTTAGTAAACTGATTACTTGATTATTTCATGTTGGGATAGTTTTGTGATGAAAGAAAAATTCATGATCATTACATCTATTCAAGGACTACACTTCAATCTCTCCAACTCTGTTGCTATTTTTCATTTCCGAAATCTGGTGCTACATTCTTCTCATGACTCTGGTGTTAGTTCCTCAAAGAAGATCTCTTTATGGTTGTATCCAAAATGATCAATCAAGTACATTAAACCGATTAATATAGGTATTTTTTTTTAGGGACTTGGGTTATGGTTTTCTATAACTATGGTTGAGTTCTGTTGAGTATATGATGTACATAACATGCATCTTCAAACTTGGTTTAAGAGATTTCATCTAGCTTGTTTCAAAATCCTTGCCTTTGTTTTCAGTGCGTTTTGTTTAGAATTTTTCTTTCTTTACGAGCGCATCCAAAAGAATGAATCAAGTACATAAAAACCAATGCATGTAGGTACGTTTGGGGGCTTTGGTTATGGTCATGTATCCTCGCTGCATTGTTTTCTTCTACAACGAGGATTGAGTTATGTTGAGTATATACATCTTCAAACTTAGTTAAGTAGATAATACTCATATATTGTCACTTCAAGGCCTCTAATATTTTTCTTGTGTTATTTTTGCAGGTTTTGGTGATGTGCAGAACAAAACGCTGGTGGCAGAAATGGAAGAAAAGATGCTCCACATGGACATCAACTCAATGATAGGAAGTTCCATGCCACTAGGAATGATGCGCATAGGAACAATCATCCACAACATCGAGATGAACCCTGGACAAGGCGCCAAGCTAGTAAGAGCTGCAGGAACTAACGCCAAGATCCTCAAGGAGCCTGCTTCAGGAAAGTGCTTGATAAAGCTTCCATCAGGTGACACCAGGTGGATCAACGCCAGATGCCGTGCCACGATTGGTACAGTGTCAAACCCTTCTCATGGAGTGAAGAAGCTGTACAAAGCAGGACAGAATAGGTGGCGGGGGATAAGACCCAAAGTGAGAGGAGTGGCGATGAATCCGTGTGATCATCCACATGGTGGTGGTGAAGGGAAAAGTAAGAGTAGTGGAAGCAGAGGAAGAACATCGGTTAGCCCTTGGGGGAAGCCGTGCAAAGGTGGTTACAAGTCTGCTAGTGTCAAGAAGAAGAAGAAGAGATTAGCTGCTAGAGAGGCCAAGATGTGATCTTGATGAATAAAAAGTTTGACAGTTTTCTTCAAATGCATCTTTTTGAGAGTTTTTGTTTTTCTTGAAACTTGAAATGAAACGTTTTGAGCGTCATAAACGTTTTAATAAAACGCGTTTTTCAATATTAAGTGAGTTACGATTGTCCTAATAAGAGACTGTAATAGAACCAGGTTTGAACAAGACACTGAATCAATCCTCACAATAACAAAAAACATTTAAAACAAATGTCTTTTTGACTTTTTTACCTTCAAATATTCCCAACTTCAGAAAACTAACTTTGAATATGAAATGATATTTTGAACTTTGAACCACAGACAATGTAGATATTCGTGGCCATCACCGTGAACTTTTAACCAGACAATGTTATCAAAAATCAAGATGCCTTTATCTATTAAAAAAAAATATTCAAGAAAGACAATTTGACATTTTCATTGGTCTAAGCAACCAAACTATTTAAAAAGTTTAAAGCAGGTTTTGGAATAAAAAAACAACAACAACGGTTTTACATTTTTGTCAAAGGAGCACACAGAGTTTGAAGATTGTATCAAACAGAGCAGCCACCATGTTTGCCATCTTGGGTCCTACTCACCCCATATTTATCCAATCATTTCATTTTTACTCTTTATATATATGTTATTCCTTTTAAATACTAATTGTTTTTATTTTTGTTAGCTTTTCATGTTTTGGTATATATTATGTCCACACATGCAATGAATCCAATACCTTCATAATTAGATGCATGAATTTTATTTTTATGTTACCACCATCCTTTTAATTTCCTTTTCAGACTGGTCATATCTTTGCTCAGGCTTCATTACAAAGCTAGTTAAATAACTCGACAAAAGTAAAGTATATGTCCCCATATATTCTGATCTTTACCCCCAAATAACATAAATACTTTTAACTTTTTCTATGAATGACACTGTAGAGATTAATTTACCATATGAGTGAATATAATGTCTATGAAAAGAGAAGAAAACTGAAAATGTAAAAAAAGTATAATTTTTTTCTAAAGAAATGTATAACGTATAAGAAAGAGATTATAGAGTTGTACGAGGAATATTAATAAGACAAGTTGGTCGAGATGTGCAATAAATCGATGAGAACGAGCCACGTGACTTGGACATGTGCCGTCTCATCCACATTATCTACCTTTTTAGATCATTGAACATATCATTGTTTATCATTTTCTAGCCAATCTTATACTACTAAATATACTATTTCAATCTATAGTATGAAATTAAAACCATCAAATTATTAAAAAGATATGCTTAATACAGAAATATGATCAATAATACTCAAATATGTGATGAAACTGTGGGCATATCATATAAACTCGTTGGTGAGATAATAATGCATATGTATTATTCAAATTTTATGATAGTCTATATATAAAGTAATGATATTTGTTGAATATTGTTGCAACTGGTCCACAACCACTAGGACATGCAATCTAGAAGAAGGGTTTGCGATGTTCAAGGCAATCATGCATGGGTTGCCATTTCCCTTAAAATCAAATACTATAATACCAACAGAATCAACAAACCCTTCTGTAAAATAATCATCATGTTGTTTTGTTCGCCTTTAAAAAATGTATATATCTTTCTTGGTTTTGCCTACGAATATAAATCTTCTCCGATCTGGATAAGTGATTGAGCTTGATCTCTGTACACAACTACTCAAATGTGTGGCATCGATCCTAGCTAGAGTATCAAGTACATATCCTCAAAGATTAGTTGAATATCCTTTAATGTCGGAAAGATATCGATGTCTACGATATTTTTGCAACTCTTAAAGACTATTTTCTTCACATGATTCAAGTCTGCATGCATCATGTCTTTATCACTACGATATTTTGTAATTAACTCTCTTTCTCAACTCTTAAATAAACTATTTGCTTCACAAGATTTCAAGTCTGCATGCATCATATCTTTATCATTGTATCGTGGTTAAGTTTTGTCTTTATTTATGAAGGGGAGGTAACGTCTTGATGTAACCATTCATAGAGTTAATTAGAATAGTGATGGCATTTATTTAGTTTGGTTTTGGTGTAAGGTATGTTCTTATATAGTGCGTGTGATATGTATTGGTAACATGATGTCAATTGTTAATACTCGAAAGGCCAAAAAACTAGCTGCTTACGTAAAATAGCATGTCCCTCGTTAATCACGCAACCAAATGTATCATGTAAAATGCAGGAATTCTTATTAGCTTTAACTATTAATATTATATAGGCAAAATAATACGAGCAAAAAAGAAGATAATAGTAACGATTAAAAACACCAAAGCTTAGGCAGAAAAAGAAAGATTAAAAACATTAAACCCAAAAATATATATCGAACCAACTGTCCCACTAGGAACACGATAATATGATATATCCACCACATGAAATGCTGAATAGAAGAATGACAATATATATGGGTCCTAATTGGTCGATAAACATATACAACATTATTAATAGGTAGAAATATAACTATAATATTTATGTACAGACTCTCTATAAGTTTTTGGGTATATATTGGAAATTTCACAACATTCAATATATTAGTGATTGTTATCCCTCGAATCCACCTCTAGTGCAGAACTGCAGATGAATAGATGAATCCGAATCTCTACTTTTGTACGGTTTTTTCCGTCCATAGTTTCAGTAGATTACAACCCTGTGATAATAGTATTACACTATTACTGTAATAAACAATGCATATAGATCACAGATTACTGTATTTGTCAAATCTTTAATTATTTGTTTCTAGCATTATCAGTGGCTAATTTTATTCCATATAATGTGTGTTATCAGTAGTGTCCTTTTGTCAATCAAGCCATAAATAACGCAACTACATTTCGAAATCTCTTTAACGAAGAATGAACTTAGCTTTTTGTTTGTGTAATAACATCAAGTGGTTATCAAGTGGTTAACATTTTATTTGTTTTCGTATTACCACCGATTACTATAAAAATCTCATAAATAATTAAGAGACAAATAAAGCCTTCACAAACAAAAACAAAAAAAACACTACCGTTTTTTGGTCAACTAAACTACAACATAGACGAAAATCTAAAAGTCTTAATTAGCTTAATTAAAACACATTGAATATTCCCAAAAACAAACTCAAACATCCACTTTCAGTCAGAGGCTTACCTAAAATAAAATTCTAGCCTACCTCATCTCCAATTTTAAGGAAGAGATAAAGTGTCTAGGGGAGAAGAACCAACTGTGATCATAGAGAGAGCCTCAAAGTAAATCTAAATTTTCAATATTTGCATGCCTTCCAGAAACAGCAACTTGCTTGTCACACTTGTCTACCCAAAAAGAGAAAAACAAATTAAATTACAAATGTAAGTCTCCTATTTAATCATTATTACTGCTAAAAAAAAATCTGTAAATTCATTGAACCTTCCTCTCTTTCCTGATTCCACAGAGAGTCTAATCCCAAAAGAGAGTATTTATTTTCTTTCTTCCTTTCTTTTGAATGAATACTTGCCTTCTTCGTCTTCTTCACTTTTATATCTTCTCACCAGCTTTTATACCAAACTCTATATCACCAACTTTATCTCTTCTTCCTCTGTATCTTCCATACAAAAGAGGTTTCAAAGTTTCTAAGAACACATATGTAATTTGCTTTCTCAAGAAAATCTTATTCTTCAACCCCTGACAAGAAAAAACATGGATACGAGAAGAGATAACCAAAACGGCATGAGTTTCCGCGGATCAGCTCAAGCTCCTCCTACGATGAGTAAACAAGAATATATCCGTACATTGTCATCCTCTCAGAGCAGCAGACCGAGGAAGCTAATAACGACAAGTTACTTCAGTTTAGAGTCAATGGTTGTCCTTGTTGGTCTCACAGCATCTCTCTTGATCCTTCCTTTGATTCTACCACCATTACCTCCTCCTCCCTTCATGCTGCTTCTCATTCCTATTGGGATTATGGTTCTGCTTATGGTTCTTGCTTTAATGCCTTCTTCTTCTTATTATAATGCCAAACATGTAACAACAAACACTTATATGTAACCTAACGTTTTCTGTTGTCTTAACTTTGTCATTACATAAGGTTTCAGAGGAAGAGATTTTGTATAACTATTTCATTTGTAAAACTTGTTATCAGATGCAATATTATTTATACACTTTGCTTGACTTAGTCAAATAGTGGGTTTGTAGATTGGATTCAAAGTCAGAGACAGAAACAAGACTGTCTTTATTTCTTTTTTAGTTGAAATAATATATTATAAAAACGTTTTGGATATCATCTCCTCCATGTGTAAAGACATTTCTCATAGGAAGTTAGTTTATACAAAGCTCCTTTCATCATATCCAAACCCTGGATCCGGTTCCAAATCTGTAGAGGCATATGATTGTTTATTCAGTTCTTATTTTAAAGCAAATGGCCAAGGTTAAACCCGGATGTCTCAGTGTGAAGAAGCTTTGACCAAAAAAAGAGGAAGGTGATGCTCCAATACTGCCATGAGCTGATGATGATGACCTTTGTATACTTCCTCTGTGTCCACATCTAAGCCTTGAAGCTGCCTCGCTGCTTCCATGAGCTGTCCTCTTAATCTCTGTGAGAGCAACATTCCTCCTGCTTTCACACACTCTCTGTACAGTGGCATGTAAGCGACTGCAACTCTCAATGGACCTGGGAGATCCTTCAAACATATAGCAGACTCTCCAATCTTCAAAACCCTCATGAAGTTCATGAAGTTATCTCGGCTTTCCTTTAATCCATTGTTGAATGCAGCCTCTGACCAATGTTCTTGGAGAAAAGATCTCAGTTCTGAAGGCACAGACTCGTCTTCTGAGTTTGCAATGGTGTCTGCAACTGAATAAGTGGCTACCGGATCTCCCAGGAAATCTGATTTGAGAAGAAACTCTACTCCATAGAGAGAACCATCGCTTCTTTCACCGGCTGCTTTGAGGATTTCGATGCTGAGAGCTGTGAGGACGGGTCTTGGTACATGAGGAAGAAGATAAGCTGCGATCTCGACCTGGCTACTCGAAGTGGCGGCTGTGAGAGCTAAGCATAGCTCCATTTCACGACAGCCTCTTTTCACAAACCATTCAACAACTTGCATGCAACCTCTCTCTGCTGCTCTCATCAATGGACCCAAGAAAGCCATGGCATGACCTTCTTCCACAAGGCAGTCCATCGTTTCAATCTTACTATAATGGGAAGCAAAACCAAGTGCTAAGTCAACATCCACGTCTAAGCTATTCCTTTGAGCAATCTGCACCAGAGAGAGAGAGAAATAAAGTTAAGAATACACAAAGAAACTTACAAGTAATCATTGGGAAGAGAGACTTGGTTACCTGCAATAAGATGCGCACAAGCTCTGTGCTACCAAAACGAGAAGCTTCAAGAAAGCACTGATTCACGTTATCTGCTCCTCCTTCCACCAGCATACCGAGCAACCCATGTATAACAGTAGCTGAGATTCCAGAAGCCCAGCCAGGATTAAAAGAGGTAGAGAAGAGAGTAAGCGGGAAGCAAGCAGCATCAAAGGCTTCTGTGAAATCCTTTCCTGTCAAATGGTTTCCTGCAAGATCTAAGAACGTCTTGAAAGCAGAGAGCTGGAGTTGGATCTCAGCAGCAGAGTCTTGGTTAGACTTTTCTCTAGAACCCTGGCATCGAGAGTGGAAGCCTATGCATTTGAGGGCCCATTCAGTGAACTTCTGAACTTTGGCACTGGCTTCTGCTTTAAGAACCTCATCACCGTTACACTCTTGAAGACGCTCGTGCAACCTGGATACGCCGAGATGCAAAAAAAAAAAAGATTTATAAAAGGAAGGGTGTCTCACCACCCTTCCCAGTTAACCCAATATAAACTAGGTGGACGATGAACATAAGACATATGTTTAAGATCTAACAAAAATTAAGAAACTGGGAAAACATCTTATGAGAGAATTAAGATGCGTACCTTTGAGCCATTACAGTTACACTATCAGAAAGACTCACTGTCCGGTTACGGCAAGAAGAGACACACGAAGCAAGAAACGAAGTTCTGAGTGTAGCTCTAGTATAGTCATGAGCACCATGACATATGATCTTTGCAATCAATCCAGTGATACCTCTTAACTCCCCTTCTGTGCTCAAGAACCAAATAGAATCTAGACTAATACACAACAAATCATTCAAAGTTTGCAGATCAGCCAAATCAATCATCCTCTCAGAAAGTTCCCAATCCTGTGAGCTAGTAGCACTTTGAAAAAGTCGTCCCAGTTCGATCCTATCCTGTCTACTAAGCTTCTTCTCTTTCCCTAGACTCTCGAGAACCTCAACATCACCACCACTGCATTTTAGTTTCTTCGCACTACAACCAAAGCCTTTCCCTGGTTGAGCTGTAGCTTGGTCATTACCTCTAAGAGGTGCCTCTCTGGCGAAAACCACACCACTCCCTTCACCTTTCTCAACCGTAAAGTCTTCCTTTGAAGACTGAGCAGTGATCTCCTCAGTTTCCAACTCGGAACCAAAAGGCTCATTAGGGTATAATCCATCATCACTCACACTCTCCTTCTCCATCTTCAAAATTTAAAACTTTTTTCCCACAGACACTGAAAGCAAAATCCTTGCAAATTAACAAAGCTCTATACCATATCCTTTCCTTAAGCAAACCTCTCTTACCAAAACGGTGAAACAAAACAAAAAGTCTCAAACTTTGTATCCACTCTATATTGATCCAAAGAGCTATCGAATCATGAGAACGAGAAAGGTCAGAACTTTTTTCCGTAAAGCTCAAAACTTTACGCCTTTAGAAACAAAACCCAGCACTGATCCACATGCCCGACCCGGAAAATTGCATCATGGATTAATCACCGACCCGGAAAATTGCATCGGAGGAATCAAGAACAAACCCTAAGACGAAAAAAACAGAAGAAGAATATTTACAGCATTTCACGAAAAGGAACAAACTTTTAAAAACATTTCAAATCGTGGAATCAACATGATGATGAGGAAGGAGGAGATGGAACGAACCTGGAGGAGATTTTCATTGAGAGGACGAGAGGAACCCTTGTGCCTGCCCTCGAGTTCTGACTTCCTTTTTTTTTTTTTTGTCTTTGATTTATATGTATGAGAATCTTTTTTATTTATTGTGACCATAAATATTTTTGTTTTTGCCACCCCTCAGATCTGTAGTAACAAATGTTTTTGGAAAAGAGGAGAAGATATTTTGTTTGGGGAATTATTTTGTTTATAAAAATAGATGACGTTTTCTGTATTTTAATTTTATGGTTGCCTCCCTTAAGCAAACTTGTCTTTTTTGATTAATCAAATTGGGTTAGAAATATGCAGATTGAATTATTAGAGATTGAGATCAGCTATTGGACAGAGACGTAATTTTTTTACCAATTGGCAAATATTTTATTACAAAAGTTCAAATAGAAATTTTCTATGATAGACAAAAAAAAAAAGATTTTATCACAAATATAAACATTAAAAATAAAAATGATCAAAATATATTTAAATATTTTTTTAAAAAATAAATAAATATACACTTATATTCTTTAAGTTAATTAATCATAAATTTTTTTGTTTAGAGTTGAGAATTAAAATTTTGGGAATATAATTTAAAAATCTAAAATTTTTAAAATAAAAATATGTTATTTTGCTCATTTTAATTTTTAAATTTTATTTTTGTGATAAAAACTTTAAAAAATATATTCGAGAGAATTACCTGAAATTCAATCCACATTACTTTTTACCAAACACAATGTTAACTATTAACAAACTAGAGTTCAACATTTCATAATCCATAACTAAAAGATTATAAACATAACACAATTCAATACCATATAAATAAGAAATATCTCAAAAATTATAATAATAATAATTTTCAATAATTCGTTTGGGCCTTCTTTGTGTTATGTTTGTGCTTTGTTGGTCTTTGGACCATTTAATAAAATGAGCTGACAAGAAGAAAAAAAAAAAGAGAGCTCTCCACTGAACAAAGCAAAGCATCTCCCTGTATATTTATTTTCCCTTTTTACTTAATTTTGAATAAATAGACAGTCATCACCACCGATCTCTCTAGACGGTCGCCTCCTACCAAAAAAAGTCCCTCTCTTTAGCGATCAATCAAGCCATGGATGAAGAGTACGACGCTATAGTTCTCGGTACTGGTCTCAAGGAGTGTATCCTCAGTGGTCTTCTCTCCGTCGATGGTCTTAAGGTCTGAACGGATCTCACTGATTACTATTAGCTTTATCTGATCTTTAAGCTGAAATTTCCGATCTTTAGTCTTCAGTTAGCTAAAGATGTGATCTTTGTGGATATATAGGTACTTCACATGGACAGGAATGACTACTACGGTGGAGAGTCAACTTCACTTAATCTCAATCAGGTCAAATACTCTCTCTCATGTTTCTTGTTAAAAAGATTAAATCTTTTTGTGGTTATTGATGATATGTTGCCTGTTGGCTTTGTTTTGCAGCTGTGGAAGAAGTTTAGGGGAGAGGATAAGGCTCCTGCTCATTTAGGTTCTAGCAGAGACTACAATGTTGACATGATGCCTAAGGTTTGATTATATTAGTTTAGTTATTTTTCTAGCTTCATTGTACTAATACTAGTTACTAAAAAGTGTTTATCTTTCGTTGTGGTGGTGGACTAGTTTATGATGGCAAATGGCAAGCTTGTTCGTGTACTTATTCATACTGATGTGACCAAGTACTTGTCTTTTAAAGCTGTTGATGGGAGCTATGTCTTCGTCAAAGGCAAGGTAACAAACTTTTTTTACCTACAGTGGTTTGCTAGCCGCAGATTTTTTTTCAGTTTGAATTCATTTTAACTGTTGTTTTTCTGCAGGTTCAAAAAGTGCCAGCTACTCCAGTGGAGGCTCTCAAATCTTCTCTTATGGGTATTTTTGAGAAACGTCGTGCTGGAAAATTCTTCAGCTATGTTCAGGAATACGATGAGAAGGACCCTAAAACGCATGATGGTGTGGATTTGAAGAGAGTTACAACAAAGGAGCTGATTGCGTAGGCTTATGTTCTATTACCTTCTGCATAATTTTGTTATCTGATTTGAGACTATTTGCTGCTAACTATAAAATTATACTTTGACAGGAAATTCGGTCTGGATGAAAACACTATTGACTTTATTGGTCATGCTGTGGCACTTCACAGTAATGATAGCCATCTCCATCAACCTGCATATGATACTGTGATGAGAATGAAGGTAAACTAATCTCGTGAGACTTTAAGTTTAGACATAATTGTTATAGAAGTCTTGTTTCTTACAGTATTGCTTTGAATTTCTTATCAGCTCTACGCAGAGTCCCTTGCACGTTTTCAAGGAGGTTCTCCATATATCTATCCTCTCTATGGTTTGGGAGAATTGCCTCAGGTTTGTCTTCTAATACATTAATACATGCTTGGTTCAACTATCTTGATGTTTTGGGCTATAGGTTCTGGATTATCTTTGAATTTCTTTCATCTATTACTTGTTTCAGGCATTTGCACGTCTAAGTGCTGTCTACGGTGGGACTTACATGTTGAATAAACCTGAGTGCAAAGTATAACTTTGGCTTCCTGCAGCTCTCTGTTTTGATAATTCTGCTGCTTACAGAAGGAAAATGTGTGATGCCTTCAACTGTTGCTTTAATTACAGGTAGAGTTCGATGAGGAAGGTAAGGTTATCGGTGTCACATCTGAGGGAGAGACTGCTAAATGCAAGAAAGTTGTCTGCGATCCTTCCTACCTGCCCAACAAGGTAATAACTGACAAATCACAGATCTGTTAGAACTTTACACTGACATTTATCTTGTCTGATTCTTCTCCATGGGGGCAGGACGCTCTACTTCATTTTGTTTGTTTTAAAATGCATATGTAGTTTCTCTGTGGTTTTGGTTTGTTGGTCAGAATGCAAGCCAGTTATGCATTCTGTAAATATCCCAATTTTTTGGATTATTTTGATATGCTTTTAACTTCCTATTCAAACAGGTGAGGAAGATTGGCAGGGTTGCCAGGGCGATTGCCATTATGAGCCATCCTATTCCAAACACCAATGATTCTCAGTCGGTGCAAGTCATCCTACCTCAAAAGCAATTAGGCCGCAAATCAGACATGTGAGTTCTCTTAATCGTCATGTTGTTTCGCTGATAGAAGTAAATGAGTCTTAATGACTGAAAGAAATTGAAACGATAGGTCCTTATATTATTCCCTGTGATAGCTAAGGTTGGTCTGAATGATTAGTCTTAGTGGCAGAAACGAAATAAAACTTATTATTCTAGCTAAGCTACCTCTGATTATGCTCATGAGCTTTCTGAGATACCTTATCTTTTGATTCACGCTTGAAGGTCGATTGATATGTTTGTTTCTTGGCTCATGATAACGTCTTGGTTGTATATTGACAGGTATGTCTTCTGTTGTTCGTATTCCCACAACGTTGCTCCCAAGGGAAAATTCATAGCATTTGTGTCTACAGACGCAGAGACTGATAACCCTCAAACCGAGTTGAAGCCTGGAATCGATCTTCTTGGCCCAGTTGATGAGCTGTTCTTCGACATCTATGATAGATACGAGCCTGTCAATGAACCCACTTTGGACAACTGTTTCATATCAACGGTATGCTTGCTTAAAAGCCTTTATTTGTGAGCGTCTTAAAGTTGGTCCTAATAACCTTTTATTCCTGTCTTAAACAGAGTTATGATGCTACAACACACTTTGATACCACTGTTGTTGATGTGCTGAACATGTATAAACTGATCACCGGCAAGGTAATGCTCCAGATTCTTAGAAATATTTGTATTTTTTGTTAACCCAACATCTTCTGCGAGTTGGAAGTGATACACTTCTTGTGTTGCAGGAACTGGATCTAAGTGTAGACCTTAATGCAGCTAGTGCTGCAGAGGAATGATGGAGAATTCTTCCTCTCTAGTCAAACAACTGATGTACTGGTTGTCTTTATCCATCCCAAACGTTCTCACTTGTTTCCCCTTAATGTTGTCTGTTTAAACTCAAATGTACTCGTCATGTTCCTGGTTGTAACAGTGTCTGTTTCTTTCTTAAAAACTATAACGTTGGATCTCGTGTTTTCTGTTTGGATTGGCTTATATAAGAATCCTCTTACAATCATTTTTCTCAGTGGTTTATGGAGACTCATAAGTAATCTTTGGCTAAGTAAATTTAAAGCGGCTCATATGTTGGAAGGACGGGCTAAACAGTAAACCTTTCAAGGAACAAGCCTCAATAAGAACTCAAATATGTCATTAACTAAGATTTTGGAAAATAAAACAAAAGTTTATTAATCAAAGCCTATATTCGACTAAGATGACACGGTCAAAACAAAACAACTCAGATCCAAGTAAAAAACTATGAAATGGGGAAAGGTGATAGAAGAAAGCATTTTGATCAATTCATCCTCCTGACAAGCTCGTTGATGAAGTTCTCTCTGTTTCCAGCATCACCACCTTCAACGTAGTGATTCCTCTTCTTCTTAAGGCCACCGAGTGGTGCCTTCAACTGGAATGGCCATAGGAAGTTGTTGGCTTCTTTGAAGTGAGGTCCAACAGTCATGATCTCGTG